AACCCCAAAACCCCAAAACCCCAAAACCCCGTTTGCTAATAACATGTTTATTTCGGTGGATAAAAGATTTGAGAAAATAAATTAGGTTGTATATTGATTCTTACTTACCACTTATCAAAAGACTTAATGAAGATGAGTCTTTGAATAATTTATGGTGCTCACTCATTAAAGTCAGTTTGAAGCAGTAGTAGATAATTACTATGTAGTATTTACAGAAAAAACGTGTAAACCTGTGAAAATTCTGAACAATGTTCTGTCCTCGCTACTGGTTCTGCTGATGCTGCTACTTCCGCTGTTGTTACTTGACTCAGCCATTTAAGAAGATGAAGAAACTGATCTCTCGTTGTTGTTGTGCTGACTGTGATTATTTTGATTGTCTAAGCTTTAATTAAAATTCTGCTCTCTAATGTTAATGTCTTCCTCTGAGTGATGACTTATATCTTGCAAAGATGACAAAGGGAGCTCAGGACATAACAAGTTAAGATTCTATTGGTTTATTTAGATTTCTGGATTGCTATTCTATTGCAAAGTTTAGAGATTTTTAAGATAGAATTTGGAAGACACACACTCATTCATACTCTCAGAGGTGAAGGAGGACATCTGACATTTGTATCTGGTAAGACGTTATTTACACTGATGGCTATAGTCAAATACACGGAGATGCTCTCCCGATCGGATCTTAAAAAAGTTTTTTTTAGCCTTAAAATGTTTGATGAAAATGCGGGGGTCATTCAATTTTATATTTGAGCATAATATTTTAGCCTTATCCTTTTAAATTTGCTAGTCTTATATTATTAGTGGTGATTAGAGTTAAGGCACTTTACTTGAGGACTTGTGGAAGCCGTGGAATAAATTAAGTTTTTTTGCAATCTATGGTTTATGTCTCTTGTTGTTATTATATGATAACGAATTCTATTTATTAGAAGTGGATTGATAAATATGTTAAGAACCATCAGCAACTTATTTAGGAAAATTTGTCAATACTGATCTTTCTTTTTAATTACCCTCCCTCACAACAGGTGGGCTTCTCTTACCCGAAGTAATATTAAAGATACCCGAATGGCTCATGAAGCTATCTTGTGACAATGATGGATTCTCACTCTTGCAGAAGCTCTTTAAATCATTAATCAATTAATGCGTTTGGTGAGAATTCATCATCAGAGCCGAGTCAAAAAAGTTTGGGGCATGGTCTTCAAAAGTTTGAAGAAGAATGTTTTGTTGTTCATAGGAAGGAACAATGAGGGAGGTAGGGGACAGGTCGTGCGTGGTCAGGTGCATGGGCCCGTGAGTAGCTGTATCTTATAGCCTGTTCATTATAGATCCGCCTTAATTCTAATAATAAAGTATACTTTTAGCGCCTTATAAGGAACAGAAAACAAATGAAAATCATGCTTTCATTTTAAAATTTATTATTAACGAATATTTATAAATTCTATTATTTTGATTATAAGGTATAATGGGGTTTTGGGGTTTTGGGGTTTTGGGGTTTTGGGGTTTTGGGG